TGTTGCAACTCCAATTTGTAGTGGAATTGTTTAAAGAAAAAACCAAGTGGCAAAACTACTAACAGTTTAATTCTTGTTAAAAGGTGTACAAAAAGAACTTACATGGGTCGAGTTGAGTGTTGAGTATTAGTTACATACTAGTCAAAAAACTAACTAACTATCATTCTTTCGAAAATGTCTTTTATAATAAAGTTTGGTTCTGCTTCATAAAAATATTGGTAATGCATCGATTAAAATAAATGGTTTAGGAGAACTGTTTCATATAACAGTATGGTTTCGCTATGCAAAACGTTATTGGTCATACATTGATTAATATGAATGTTGCATAGACAATTAATGAGATAAATGATATTACAAACGCAATACAGGCTAAAAGTTAATACACATACAGAGCGTTGAAAATACATATAAGCAGGGTGGAACCTAACAATATATATATGTATAGGGAGGGGAAACCACCCCTGTATGGTGTTTTTGAGTTTCTAAGATCTAAAAAATGTATAGTAGGTAATCGTTTCACTGTGTGTGAATATTCATTATTCATTAGTAGTTGTGTTGCTCATGTATTTTAATATTGGAACCATGTAGTTTTAGATACACTGATTTAATGTGTTTATGGTTACCTGATAATATGTCGTTGTTTTAAATTTGTAAGGTATTATTTCTAAAGCCTTCAAAGAATAAAAGTATTGTAATAGCCGAAAGACCGATATCGATGTAACCGTTGTAAACTGTTTAGTTTATGATTGTTTATAAACGTTAAAAAACCGTTGGATTACTAATACTTAACGTTCGGTTAGGACCGTTCGATTTTACGAAAATATGATTGAAAGATTTTAAAATGACCGTTCATGAATGCAAAGATGTGATTGGAAAATTTATTATTAAGATGAGGGAATAAGTGTTCATATAATAGGTTTTGAGGAATGGAATGATAGATTCGATGTAGAAAGGAAAATAACAGTTTAGAAGTAAAAAAACTGTTTTTGGAATAACAGAGTTTCTGTAACAATTAATGTAGGATGAGGGGGGCAGTTTAGAACAGAGGCAGTTTTGAATGATTGGATTTATGAACGCATCATTTGTCTTTCCTAACCTCCAATGCCCTTTTAATACTGGTAACACCGAACTACACGTCTGTCAGTTGCCAATTTACGTCAATGTCAGTGTCAAACAGAATAAAATCTGTCGGTTACTTTACGGAGACAAAACCAAACACTTTTATTTTTTATTGTAAGCGGATTACTGAAAACGTAAGTAATTATTTTCAAGTTTTGACTATTTCATAGTGTTGTGTATATTATAACAAGTGTATTACCATTATAAGTTAATTAAATACTTAAATACAAGTTTCTTGGTCGTCTAGATAATTGTGTTTCTGAAGGATGGTATTGGGGCAGATTTGAAAAAATCTGTGGGGCAGTTATGAATAAAATGTTCAAAAGTACCCCCAGCTACTTGAACAAATGATGTTTACTTATTTTTAAAAATCATTGATAAATATAGTTAAATAAATTCATTTTATATTCTTTTACAGTTACGAATCACAATGGTAAGAAATTACAAAAAGAAAAAAGAAAATGATGTTAACGAAGAAGACGCCAAGAGAGCTGTATTAAGAGTTGTCAATGATAGCACGAAACCAGCGATTGGATGACTGGAGCTTTGTTTCTGAAAGTTTTACAACACATTAAAAAAACCACTATATGCACCAAAGAAAATAAAATTTTTATACTTCTTGACTATCATGAGAGTCATTGCACTATCGATGCTATTAATTTTGCAAGAGAAAACGACTGAAGCTGAAGATCTAGAAATAAATCAACCTACGGTAGCAGTTGCTCACGACGCTACTGACAATGCTCAAATTGTTGCCCCTGCACCTTCTGCAATCGACAGTGACGCTACTGACGCTGAAGATATGGAAGTAGGCCAACCTGTAATAGCATCAACTAAAGCTATTGACAAAAGTAATAAACCCACCACAACCCTTACATCTCAACTTCCCCCTGAACTTAATCATGAAACCGATAAATCTGCAAAAACACCCACTAAGAATACTAATAAAGCTCACGTGCAAACTCCTTCACGTTCACCATCTGTAATCGAAAGTGCCGCCAATATTGATAATTTGGCGAAAATAAACAGGAACACTGAAAATATATGGGGAACAGTAACAATTACTCCTGAAGCAATAAGACCGTTTCCTAAAGTGACTCCTCGTACCGGAAGAAAAGGCAGAAAGAAAGGCTTGTCACGAATATTAACTGATACTCCAGAAAAATGCGCATTAGAAGCTGCTTATCTAGATCGGATGAAACGCAAGCATTCAATTCTGCCTTTATCAAAACGAGGAAAATGTATGTCTAAGAACAATACGTATGAAAAGAAGAAACCGTTGCCAAAATATCAGTCAAACTCAGAATCTGACGGAAATATATCTTTTCATGATGATTCTGATATGGATTTAACAGATGGTCAAAGTAATTCTGAGTCTGATAATCTAGTTGATGAAAGGGAATCAATTCAATCCTTGACAAATGAGAATTTAAATGAAAATGACTATCTATTGGTAAAATGTCACTCTGCCAAAAAAGAATCACAAATGTCTTTCGTAGCTTTTATCAAACATAAAGACCAAAATATGTTTCAAGTTTCTTTTGTAAAAAATAAATTCGGTTTTAAATTTTTGTTCCCTGACAAAGAAGACCAATCCTGCTTACCTATCACTGATATTGTAAGGAAACTTCCAAAGCCATGCTCTGCTCCAGGAACTTCTCGTACAACTGCTCTAGTAACTTTCAAATTTGACTTCAGTAAATTTAAACTAGGATAAGTAGTATTTTTTGAAGTTGTTCGTTTTTTTTTATATTTACTTTTATGTTGGCCAATAAGGCGATTTGTATTGTTTATTTTGTTTGATATTCCAAACTTACATAGTTTAACTATTTGATTATTTTTTAAATGCCTTCCTAAGACCATTTGAAATGGTATGTTTTTAAGATAATGTTAAGATTATAAAGATAATATAAAGACAAAGATTTTACCTGCATTATGTAACTAGATCTCATATATTAAAATAATAAGTTACTTACACTTGTTCAAGACTGTCCCAGGCTGTTAATAGTTTTATAAAGTTTATTAAAGCAATAGTAAGCCTACGAAGTTAGTGGCAATACACAATTATAAGATAAGATCTGTATGTCTTAAATAAAGTGTTGATTATATTCTAAGTTACATTGTTTTCTTGTTATCGTGGTATTTCAAAACTGCCCCTAGGGTTATCAAATGTGCCCCTTGCCAGAGGCACATTTGAACAAAAATGGGGTTTTTAAAAATAATGATATTATCTTAATAAGTAAAAACAAGTAAATTTAATTTTTATTTTGTAACACAAATAGCATATCTATTCATGAAAAAGTAATATACCTTGATATGTAGCACAATACGACAAATATAATATTTTATTTAAAAAGTGTTCAAAGGTGCCCCCCTCTCCTGTACATATATATGGCAATATATCAATTTAGTTTAATATTACTCAGAATAAAAATCAAAATTACAGTGCAATGCTTCAATTGCGTTTTTATTTCAGATTTAACTACTGACAATATGCAACAAAAGACTTTTGCACAAACTCCTATATGTTCAAAGAAAGTTACAGAGTATGAACGTACGATAACTTTTACGTATCTTAAGTGGCATATTGCATTTACATTACATTTTATAGAAGACGCTGTTGGCGAAATTTCAAATGTAAAAAAAATAAGATCAGAAAAAGAACTTGGACCGAAAAGGAACTTAGATTAATAAGAAAATATTTCAAGCGGGACATTGACAGAGGAATTTATCCTGCATCCTGTCAAATAAAGAAATTCATATCGGAAACAAAGATAAACCGAAACGTTCCAGTAATAAAAGCCAAAATTCAACACCTAATTAAGTCAAAAGAATAANTATGAATTAATGCTTACACTCACT